CCTCACAGGGTCATCTCTGGGGGGTTAGGCTTGGCCCCTGTACGTCCGTGGACATCGGCCAGGTGGCCCAGGCAGACCCGCCAGTGGGATGCGCTCGTGCATCGCGTTGTGGCGGCCGCTGCCAGGTCCTCGGCAGTGGCGGGGTATGTACAAGGGGTCGATGTGCGAATCTTGGTGGACACGGGTACGTCCGCAACTATTATTTCAGAATGCATTTTTCTGTTGCTGCCGCACAGCGCTAGGCTGTTGCGGCCGGGTTTAGGGAGCTTGCGTAGCTGCGAATGGCGGCAGCCTGGGTATTTTGGGCCACATTGTGGCTTCAATCAAAATTAGGGAAATTGAAATGGTGGGGCCCATTCTGGTCTCCAGGACCTTGGCAGTACCATGCCTCTTGGGGACTGACTTTTTGGCCAAAATGCCCGTTCGAATCCTTGTGGACCAAGGTTGTGTAGAGATGCCGTTGGGGGGGGGGGGGGGGCGGTTGCACTTTCTTGCAATCTCCCACTGTGCTGTCCCCCCTTGCCTCCAATGTGCGGGCCTTGACTAAGATGTCTGTGACTGTTCCACAGTGGTCATAAGTCCTACTACCCGTCAGGCTGCGCAGACCATTGAAATTGGATTCCCCGGAAGGACGGGTTGGTAGGCGCATTGACAGCCGTGTTGGAGGGCCAGGACCCCTATGTACAGGTCCTAAATTCGGGGCCCTCGCCGATCGTCATTCTGGCCGGTGCTGTTTTAGCACACGCCACTCCGGGCCCTCCTCCCGACAATGCTCGGTCGGCTGGAGGGGTTGTGGCAGGTGTGCTGCACAAGGGGAGGACCAACGCATCATGGATCGATGCGTCATGTAACGAGAATGCCCCGTTATCCTCCGAGGAGCACCAGCGGCTCCGCAAACTCATCGTGAGGTTCACCGATGTGTTTAGTCTGAGTAAATTCGATCGTGATCGCACCACTCTTCTGGAACATCACATAGATACGGGCAACTCGGCCCCTATTAGGCTAAATTCGCACCGCTTTAGCCCGGCGGAAAAGGATCATGTCCGCTCCACAGTTGACGAGATGTTGGCAGCGGACATTATCTCCCCATCCACTAGCCCTTGGGTGCCCCCATTGTGCTAGTCAAGAAACGGGACGGGAGTCTCCGTTTCTGCGTGGAATTCCGTAAATTAAACAAGATCTTGGTGGCTGATGCATATCCATTGCCTCGCATGGATGATTCCCTGGATGCTCTCTCAGGTGTGCGCTTCTTTTCGACCCTAGACTGGCTCTCAGGCTTCTGGAAATTGTCACTGGACGAGGCCTCTTAGACCCAAGACAGCGTTCCGCACACCCCAGGGGCTGTTCCAATTCAATCGGCTTCCTATGGGTCTCCATTCGGCCCCGGCCACCTTCCAGCATCTCATGGAGATGGTCTTGGCGGGGCTGCAGTGGGGATCTTGTTTAATCTACTTGGACAATGTAATTGTTTTCGGCCGTACGTTTGACGAGCACTTGCAACGTATTCAAGCAGTGTTCGTCAAATTGCGGGCCACAGGCTTGATTTTCAAACCATAGAAATGTCACTTATTGCAACCATCGGTGAAGTATTTGGGACACATTGTGAGTGCGTCAGGTGTTGCCACGAATCCGGAAAAGACAGCTTGTGTCCGGACGTGGCCGACTCCTACATCTATCGCTGGCATGCGTAGCTTCGTCAGCTTCGCATCGTACTATCGTCGGTTCGTCCATGATTTTGCGACAATTACGAAATCACTGCACGCACTCTCCGCCAAAAGTAAAAAGTTTCGCTGGGGGGTAGAGGAGGAAGCCGCTTTTGTGGCGCTTCGCATGGCCTTGGCGGATGCGCCGCCCTTGGGGTATCCGGACTTCTCTAAACCGTTTCTCCTCGACACCAATGTCAGTGACACGGGCATTGGGGCTGTCCTGGCTCGATGGGGTTAAGAGGGTGGTGGCCTATGGCAGCCGCATTTTGTCTCCCACTGAACAGCGGTACTGTGTGACCCGGAGGGAGCTGCTGGCCATAGTGTACTTTGTTTAGCTGTACAGGCCCTATTTGTATGGTAGGCGGTTTACCGTCCGGACCGACCATGCGGCCCTGCAATATTCGCTGCAGATTGACCAGCCCTCGGGTTAGCTGTCCCGCTGGCTTGAGGTGCTCCAAGAGTACACCTTTGACTTCATCCACAGGAAGGGGGCACAGCACGGAAATGCGGATTGCCTTTCCAGGTTGCCTACGGACGGCGGGTGCGCTTGTGCCCTAGGTTCTAGCTGCTGCAAGGCCCCAGTGGACACCGCGGCCCAGTTGGTTGCATCGGCCGAAGTGGCCCCCCCCTCCGGGTGTGGCGTTGCCTGTTGATTTCAGCCTGGGACTCCCCCAAGAGGTATGGTCCAAGTTGCAGATGGAGGATTCCTCTCTGCTGAGGCTACGACGCCGTGTTGGGCCAAATGCCCAGAGCTCAGCTCCGTCGGCTGCCCTGGTGATCGCTGTGTATGACGGCCTCCTCATGCGTTGGGATGTCCAATTGGAACGCTATTGTGTGGTTGTGCCCATTGGCCTACGAGGTAAATTAACCTGAGCTATTCACGAAAAACGTATGCACCTTGGCTACAATAAGACCTTGTTGACCCTTAAACGGCACTACTATTGGCCGGGTGTGGAGGGTGACGTGGCACTGATTTTCAAGGGTTGCCACGACTGTGCGTGGAGGAAGGCCCCAGTTGGCCAGGATCCCCCACAGCAGTCCATCCGGGTTTCTCGTGTCAATGAGCTCGTGGCACTCGACATTTTGGGCCCATTCCCAGAATCCCAACGGGGTCACAGGTACCTCTTGGTGGGAGTTGAGTACCTCACACGTTGGCCTATGGTGTGGCCTCTGATGGACCAGTCGGCCTCGTCCATCACTGTGGCGTGCGTACAGGGCTACGTTCTAGACAAGGGTGCGCCAGAACAGCTATTAACCGATCAGGGGCGAAACTTTTCTTCTCGGTTGCTCAAGGAGGTCTGCGACGTGGCACACACACAGTACCTTCTTGGCACAAAGAAAATCCGCACCTCGCCCTACCACCCCCAGTCTGACGGGATGGTAGAGCGCTTGAACTGCACCCTCACATTCATGCTGTGCACCACGTGAGTACGTCCCAATCGGACTGGGACCTGTTCATTCCGGGGGTTCTTGCCGCGTATAGGTTGGCTCCTCATGCCTCGACAGGGTTCTCTCCTTTTTATTTAATGTATGGAAGGGAACCAGAGCCCCTGATGCACGTCCAACTGGACCTAGGGCCTTCTAAAAAAGGTTCGACCGGTTGTGCGAGGCACGGCAGTCGGCTTTAGATAATTCGGCCAGCCGGCAGGCGGCTAACGAGCGCCTGCCCAAACACCAGGCTGCCGGCCTTCCATGGGAAAGGGGCCAGAAGGTGTGGTTGCACTGCCCCCAAGTACCTGTTGGCACGTCCCCTAAATTGCATCGCCCTTGGCAGGGCCCTGTCTAGGTCGTAGAGGTTCACCGATCGCAATGTATCCGTATTCGGTTGGGTCGCGGCCACTGGATAGTGCACCCGTCTCGGCTCAAGCGGGTACTCTCATTTTACTCACGCAAAATGACAGTACCCTTGTGTGTGTGAGATGGATGGAATCTGATCGGTCAGCTCGGGGCATTGGTGGGGTTAGGTACTGATGCGGGCTTTCTTACTTGCTTGCCTCAGATTCTCCTCAGCACTCCTTCCCAACTGTTCATTGGCTGGGAAGTAGTTTTTTTGTGTCATATTGGGCTCCACCACATTCTGCCTGGAAAATTGGGTCATAAACTGGCACATAAATCACTGTAGACGCAATGACTTTTAAGCAATTTCCAACATTACATTAATCTGCCACACTGACTTTTTACATTTATATTATGTCAAATAACATGACTTGACTCCCCCCCCCCCGAATGTGAATATTGCATGGCTTTTACATGATGTCCTGTAATCACAATGCACACATTCCACTCTCTACCTTTGCTTCACAGGTGAATCTGAAATACCACCTGCCCGCTGTACACCTAACACATCCACTCTTTGGACCCTTGGTAATTAACAACTATAAACTGTTTTTATTTAGCAGATAAGCCCCACTATATAGCTCTTTGTCAGAAGCGACCTGGTCACAAATGATAGGTCAAACAAAGTGGCTTATCATGTGGATATTTATAGCAGCCAAATACTCTCAACGTATTTCAACTAAATGTGGAGGGAAAAACCGGAGGACCCAGGAGAAAATCCACATGACCACAGGGAGAACATGCAAACTTCAATTATACAGGCGTCAGGGTTGGGATCGAATCCACGACCTCCTGCATACCAGGCGAGGTAGTTAACATCTCACCACCGTGGCAATGTTTTACATCAATACTCATATTAGTGGCATATACAAACACGCAAATTAAGATATCAACACGCTCATCAAAGTCGCAGAAAAAATCATGTACAAAATTTCCCCCAACTTCAATTACTGGAAAAATAAATAGCCCGTTATTTTAATAAACATTCCTCATTCCAGTTTTCACAGACCTCAGTATCTCACGTGCCCTTATCCGTTAAATAAGCCTCCTTTTAGGCAGCGTGTGAGAAACCTTTTGCAGGTCTAAACAAATGTTATCTTCTGCATCATGTTTAAATGTCATTATGGTGACATTTTCATAAAAGCCCAAGAGATGTGATAAGCATGACCGGCCTTTACTGAATCACGTAAGCAGTTCTTCATAATTTTTCACTGGTAGAAATGTTTGGAAGTGGATGCATTAAAAACATAGTATTACTATTATTTTGTGAATGCATGACTTGCGACTGTGCCTGCATCTCCATTTCATAGGTTTTTTTTTCGTTAAGGAAAATATATATTTTAAAACTTTTATCGCTTCTATATTTGTTTAATCAATAGCGATGCATGTGTGTTTATTTATTTCACAAAACATATTTCGCTTGGTAGCTGATACCCAACAATAAGTTACAATACTGAATCAGTCTCCCATCGTAAACATTTATTAATACGCTTATCTCCAGCAGTGTTATTCTTCAATATCATGAAGAAATAATATTAAACACAAAATCGTGGCTGTCTATGTGAGTGTTGGATATCGACCCCAGACCATCAATAGCAGTGTTTACGCTACGGAGCTTATTACAAACAAATGGCTCCTTATTGAGAACACAATGGAAGTGGAACACATATTTAAGCAAAGGCTCAGTTCTGAATCAGGTTCCTCACGCAATCACAGATTAACAGAAGGAAAGTTCAACTGCGCATGACCAGTGGTGAATTCTAAGATGCAGAATGTGTGTATGGGCTGGTGTCCGAGGGGAGGGTATTTTCTTTAATAAATAACGGGACGTTGCAATGATGCAATTGTGAGCACACTGGACTGGTCATCCGGGGGTCACCATTCCGTTCTAGTGCTGTTACAGTTGAAACAATGAGCGCGTTTATTAACCCCCTTACCCACCATGCTGTCCACCTGGCAGCATAAATATGAATGCTACAGTTAGTTGATCAGCAGGTCGTCACGTGTGGTGGGATCAAGTGGTGGCTACTCCAACCTGTTCCAAAATGTCTGGCAGGCTTGAAAGAGGACACTTATATTCCTATAGGGGGGTCTCTAGAGCTTCCGCTAGTGGAGGCCGTTCCTCCAGCAACAGCGTGAACAAACAAATGAACAGGGCTGCGCCTTTACCTTTATGTGTAAAAATAAGATCAGTTCACAATTGTTAGGATAGAGTCCATGGAAAGCAAATAAAACAATATTGGGGGCTGGCGGCGCCGCATTGGTCGGAGTTTGTTGTCCTTCCCCTGCATCTCCGTCGATGAGGTGGCTTCATGGCCGCCTCCATCTCGAGGCAGATGTCTTTGACAGCCGCCGCCTCCCAGAACCCGACTGTAGGAACTGGTCGACCCCAGATAACTGAGGCCCGCACAGGCACAGACAGCAGCAGCAGCTGCACAGCTGCTCATATCCGAGCAGGGTCTGCTCGGTCGTCAGGAGGCAGGCGTCATGGAGGAGGTGGTGGTACTCCGTTGACTCCGCTCCTAACACAGGATTCTGGGGGGAAAGCGAGACGTAGGGCACAGTGAGGGGATGCCATCAGCACTGGGCAGTACCTGGACAGTAGCCTTAATCATCATGCAATGGAAGCACTCGCATTCATCATTCAGTCATCGACGTCAACATTCTATTATCATTGTACTTAAATGTCGGCTGCATGGAGAGACTGCGAATGGGGCAAACGGACCTTGCAACATGTACGACCCAAAGACATCATGACCTTGAGAAGGGTGGCCTTGGCTAGTCAACGCGTCTAGACGGCCATGTCAATGTTTTTATTGTAATTACATACTTATTCTTCTTGGTTCTTTCGGTAAAGTCACGTAGAATGAGAATAAAACAATAAAACAAAATAAGACAATAAAATTGTCACGACATTTCAGCCAGTAACCATTAGCCTTGAGAGCTTGGTGTACGTGTTTGAGTTCACTGGTAATGTGATCCGCAAAGCCATCACTCCAATCATGAAGAAGGATCCCCTTGAACCATTCAAAACCATCACCTTACCCTACATTGCGGGGGTCACAAAAAAGATCTCCAAAATCCTGAACAAACACAAGATCCAGGTCCGATTCAACACAGTATATAAAATCCGTGATCTGGTTCCATCTATAAAAGATGCTGTTCCAGACCTACAGTACCCGGGCGTTTACAAACTAAAGTGTCTCTGTGGTAGCAGCTACATTGGAGAAACCAAACGACATATCTCGGACCACATCCGCGAACATAAAGCAGACTTGAAACACGGTAGGACGAACTCCTCTGCCGTGGCAGATCACTGTTATAATTCAGTGGGCTCACATGACATTGACTTCTCCAAGACGGAGGTTCTTTGCAAGCCAACCGGCTACCATGAGAGATTCGTTCATGAGGCCATCCACATATACAAGCACAGAGACAATTTCAACCGAGAAGATGGATTTTGGCTTAGTAACCATTGGAAAGATGTTTTAAACCATTTCGGTTCTTAATTAATTGTATTTTACGTTGACCTTCAGACCGCAGCTCTTTCGGTGGGATTGCCTCTTAATACCTCTCACACCACGGTTAATGGTATGGTTTATAACATGGAGTATAACAGCGCATCGTGGCTGTTTCTCCCCCCTCCTCCGTTCCGAGCATAGATGGACTCGTCCGTCTGAACAAAGCTCGTCGCTGTCCGTGGTGCTAACGTTAAAAAGAAAAAACCCGCCACCCATTTTTTCGCCATATGGCATTGTAATGTATAACGACGTATTGCTAGCTGATTGGAGAGTATATAGTTTATTGATAACATTGATGTAGTTTATATTTCAGTTTTTTATTAGTTTACTATATGGTATTCATTAGATAGTGTAGTGTATACCAAGTTACTTTATGTTAATAGCTCAACTTATTGAAGAATATATTGAGTACATTTTTTATATTGATGTAGTTTATACTTAGTTTTTTCACATTGGTTTATTGTATGATAGTTGGGTAGTTGCAGTCCTTTAGCGTCCATATACTAAATGCCTCTGTTGACATGTAAACTTTGACTTTAACATAGCTATTTCCGTGACCAGTCACATGCTAATCCCTCACATTAACATTATGCTAATCTCCCAGTTACATGCTAATTTCTGACTTTAACCCCTGCTGATCCAACACTTTAACACAGCTATTTCAATGCTAAATTCTCCTGTTTGATATGTAAACTCCTTTGTCAAGGCGCTTTACCTCTCCCACCTAGCCTAAAAGACGCTGCGAATCTTAGCAGCGTTCATTGAAATGCTCAGCTGATTGGAGAGTTTATAGAGTTTATTGATAACATTGATGTAGTTTATATTTTAGTTTTTTATTAGTTTACTACATGGTATTCATTATATAGTGTAGTGTATACCCAGTTACTTTATGTTTATAGCTCAACTTATTCAAGAATATATTGAGTATATTTATTCTATTGATGTAGTTTATAATTAGTTTTTTCACATAGGTTTATTGTATGATAGTTGGGTAGCTGCAGTCCTTTAGCGTCCATATACTAAATGCCTCTGTTGACATGTAAACTTTGACTTTAACATAGCTATTTCCGTGACCAGTCACATGCTAATACCTCGCATTAACATCATGCTAATCTCCCAGTTACATGCTAATTTCTGACTTTAACACCCTGCTGATCCAACACTTTATCACAGCTATTTCAATGCTAAATTCTCCTGTTTGATATGTAAACTCCTTAGTCAAGGCGCCTTACTTCTCCCACCTAGCTTAAAAGACGCTGCAAATCTTAGCAGCGTTCATTGAAGCGCTGTCGTCCCGAAAGTTTTGTTCCTTCACCTGAAGAAGGCTACTTGTGTTATGGCCGAAACGTCGTGATAATTTTATTGTCTTATTTTGTTTTATTGTTTTATTCTCATTCTACATGACTTTACCAAAAGAACCAAAAAGATGAATCCTTGCAGTCACAAAAGCTTTAAATCGAAATATATACTTATTATATTTAATATCAACGTAATTGTAACATTCTACGACGGGGGCGGAGCCTGCAGAAGAGGGCGGGTCCAGAGGCGTGGCAGTGACGTCACCAGAGGGCGGGGCTCGAGGCCTGGACTGTTGGCGACAGTTGGAGGGGGGGGGCAGTTCCCATGGCTACCCGGGTTTGTTGTTGCCCAGCCATGTCGCTATCATACTTTACTTATTCTTGGTTCTTTCGGTAAAGTCATGTATAAGGGAAACAATAAAATAATAAAAATATAAAACAATAAAATTATTACGACGTTTCGACTGCAACACAAGCAATCATCATCAGGTGTGAAAACCACAGCAAGAAAATTTGAAAAAAAGTGGCGTTTTTTTTTAAACGTTAGCACCACGGAGAGCGATTTGGCAGTTATTCAGATGGACGAGTCCATCTATGTTCGGAAAAGAGGAGGGGGGAGACGAAAATAATGGATGCGGTCTGAAAGCCACCGTGAGCGTGAACAATCCATTAAGACCCGAAATGGTTTATCAAATTCTTCCAATGATTGCTAAGCCAGAATCCATCTTCTCGGTTGAAATTGTCTGTGTTTGTATATGTGGATAGCCTCATGAACGAATCTCTCATGGTAGCCAGATGGCTTGCAAAGAATCTCTGTCTTGGAGAAGTCAATGTCATGTAAGCCTACTGAATTATAACAGTGATCTGCCACGGCCGAGGTGTTGGTCCTACCGTGTTTTAGGTCTGATTTGTGTTCACGAATGCGGTCCATGACATGTCATTTGGTTTCTCCAATGTAACTACTACCACAGAGGCAACTTAGTTTGTAGACGCCAGGGTACTGTATGTCCGGAATCACATCTTTTACAGACGGAACCAGATCGCGGATTTTATGTAATGTGTTGAATCGGACCTGGATCTTGTGTTTATTCAAGAGTTTGGAGATCTTTTTTGTGATCCCCGCAATGTAGGGTAAAGTGATGGTTTTGAAAGGCTCCTCAAGAGGGTCCATCTTCATGGTTGGAGTGATAGCTTTGCGGATTGTGTAGTCGGAGTAACCATTAGCCTTAAGAGTTTGGTGTACGTGCTTGAGTTCACTGGCTATGTGTTCCTGGTCGGATATGCATTGGGCTCTATGGTGCAGAGTGTTGATGAGGGAATTCTTCTGGGACGGATGGTGGTGGGAATCCCGTTTCACGTAAGCATCCGTATGGGTAGCTTTCCTGTAGACAGAGTGGCTCATTGAACCATCAGGTCTCTTTTCTATTGGGACATCCAAAAAAGGTAGCTTGCCATCTTTTTTGACTTCCATGGTAAATCTGATGGCTGGGTGTATGGAATTGATGTGGTTGAGGAATTGGTCTAGAGCAGGCCGGCCATGTGGCTACTTTTTTTCAAATTTTCTTGCTGTGGTTTTCACACCTGATGATGATTGCTTGTGTTGCAGTTGAAACATCATGAGATTTTTATTGTTTTTTATATTTTATTATTTTATTGTTTCCCTTCGATGTGACTTTACTGAAAGAACCAAGAAAATGAATCCCTGCAGTCACGAAAGCTTTAAATCAAAATTCATACTTTACTTGTTTAATTAGCGCTCGTTTACCATTGATTTACTTATTTATTGTTACCGAGACTATCCTTACTAAATTGCTTGTTTAAAAGATAGCAACTCGTCACGTTTTTAAGAGGAAAAACCAAAGAGGCAAATTTACATATAAGTGCTTCTGGGAGATGCGGCCATAGGCCAAAGAGTCACGCATATTGAATGTCATCAACTCTACGTATGAATGTACTCATCGTCGGTATTAAATCAAGGACGGGCACATCAAAGTTGTTTCCCACTGAAGCAAGTGAGTGGTGGTGTTGATTGGTACTCACGATGAACACCTACCCCAAGTCTGTTACGGCTACACGGGGGGTTTCTGTCCTTGTCTTTGGTCAGATCAGAATCTCGATCTGTATTCATACTGGAGGAATACGATGAACTATAAAGCTCGTTTTCACAGATATTCAGTGCCTTGGTTCGCCTCGTAGTCCGCGAGCACTTCGGCCCAAGCAGCTGTGGAGGAGGACCTCGCAGGCTTCTTAGAATCGGAGTCAAAAGGGAGGGAACCGGGGGTGGAGGAAAAAAATTGTGAGGCGTGCCACTAAGCACGCTCCTCATGTACAGCTGCAGAGACGAAGATCCCCCTGGTAGCCTTGGGCCAGAGCTGGCCACCTTTGTCTCCCCTATGCTGATGTTTTCAAGGGAAGGTCTCCACATTGGTAATGTTTTAACACGTTGAATCAGATACTGTAATCGCTTTGAGTCTGAGTGGACGTAGAGGAGGCCCATGCCTTTTTCAAATAAACCTCAACCACTGTGGATATGAATTCGCGCTACTCCTCTAGCGACACAACAACAGCCCTGCCTCCTCCCCACACAGGAATCTACAAAGATAAAAAGATCCCCCATATAGCCTTAACAGACTGTAGGGGCAAGTGCTGTTAGCGAGCACTTATGAAGGCCGGAACGGTACATGAGGGGATGGGTGGCCAGCACCACGCCCGCCCGCCTTTGTCTCCCTAGTGGCAATGTTTACACACTGCACCAGGTACTCATTTGAGGCTGAGTCGACCTAGGGGAGGCCCGGGACCGGTTCAGATAATCGTCACTGGTTTGGCCGTGAGCGGGAATCAAACCTGGGTCACCAGGTTCATAGCGCAGCGCGCTAACCGCTACACTACCGCTCCCCACAATCTACACACACACAGCGACACTCGCTCCACTCACCATGTCAATGTCTTTCTGTGCAATCTTCTCGTACGAGGTCATTCTTCGGGAATCTTGAGCGTTGCAAGAATGCAGCTATTTGGCTGAAGTCACGGCACGTCATGTGCTCTGTGGTGCACGAATCAGAGAGGAGCCCAGTACACGAAGCACTTGCACGAGCCTCGCGTACCTTTCTGAACAGACTGTTGGTAGATGGTGCACACACACCCCACAACAAATACACTTCATATATAACACGCATGAATACGAATGTAAATACATGCTCTGTTGTCCAAATATTGAATTCAGATACCAACGTACAAATCAGATTATTTATTTATACCAATCAATCGCAAAACCACCTATATCCCACCCTCTCAAGCTCTCAAGCTCTCACACACACAGTAACTCATTCACCAAGCCGTGCTGGCCTTCACAGGTGCTCGCTAACACCACCTGCCCCAACAGTCTGTTAAGGCTGTCGGGGCAGGTGCTGCGGGATATTTGTCTTTGGGCGAGTGTGTAAATGTGGGAAACGGTAGTGTCGTGATGAACACTTCGCCACGAAGTCGGCCAACCAGTTAAATTCCCGCTCACGGCAAAGACCAGTGACGATTGTCTGAATCGGTTATGGCCTCGCCTAGGTCGATCACTGTTACATTGTTTTTATAGCTTTATTTTGATTTTGAAAACGTTTTGGTTTATCCATGTTTTTTTGTTGTAGTACAGAGTTAGCCTGATAACTTTAATCTAAATTGTCTTATGGTTCTTATTGTTTGACTTGCATCCCACTGGGATTTTTGCACACAGCGTTGAAATAGGGTGTTTTTTCTGGAAGACTTTGCTGTTTTTTCCTGGATTTTTCTGTTGCGTGTAGTCACTTTAAGATGTTTCTTGTTAATGTTTTTGTTTGTTGCGGTTGCACCCGAGTCAAGATCCGCATGGCTCACAGGGTTATCTATATATAAAAGGGAAATGTGTGAATGTGTCTGTTCGAAATGTTTAGCATACTTCCCAACATGCAACAAACTTGAAATTTGGCATGCTGGTAGCTTTCAGTCTGTACACAATGCAAAAAGTATAAAAGTATACTTTTGTATTGGGGGGGGGGCGCAATAATGCATGTAATATATTGCACGGCAAGTGAGCGGTGACGTCGCATCTGTGATGTCACCCGCATGCGGCAGCATTACACAGTGTGCCTGCTGACGTCACCCTCCGCGTAGGCAATCTATTAATCCAAAACAAGAATACAAGTCCCGGGCGAAGCTGGGTAGTAAAGCTAGTATACCTAATAAATGAAACTGAAAAATTAAACCTTCGATTAGCACGGTTGGCTACACACGGTGCGAACGAAGTTCAACATACATACACCGCGTGCCATTGCTGAGTAGTGGCGTGAGAGCAAGGGACAGGATTTGGAGTTCACTACAGACTACCTCTGTTGTGCATGGACTGGCTGTTGGAACTGTGCATTTAGTGCTCCGCATGTTTAAATTGGGTGGACCAGCTGATCCATTGTCCGTGAACCATTGTAAAGGGAGCGGCATTTTCGAGAAGAGTTCGTCGTGCCTCGGCTGTGATTATTTTCTTGTTTACACTGCATATACTTCACTGCCTTCTGGTGACATTCGTTGAGTCCCACGGGAGCTTTGATGCCAGCGCCCCGTAGCAATGGCGTGACTTAACATTATCGGAGGGGGAGGGGGGAATGTGGCAATCGTGTCAGGTGGGGCCCCAATGTTTGATTTGTGCAATTCTCGGAAGCCAAACGTTACTGCTGGAATTAAATAAAATACGTGGAACGTAAATGAAAGGATTTTCATTTAAACAATCATTTCAATCGCGATTTAAATACGTTTTTTTGTTCTCTTACACTGTTGTTGAAAACATATCTCACGTTGGTTTGTCAAGGGGGCCCCAACTCGTAGCTTTGGCCACCAGGGGAGTGGCCAAAGCTACGCTACTGGCTCTGTGTTAATGTCCACAATATACTGTTGGGGCAAAGTGCTGTTAGCGAGCTCCTATGAAGGCCAGCACGGCACACGAGGGGCTGGGTGGCAAGCACCATGCCCGGCCGTCTTTGGCTCCTAGGTGCTGATGTTTACACACCACCCCAGGAACGCATTTAAGGTTGAGTGGACCTAGGGGATGCCCAGGACCAGTTCAAATAATCGCCACGTTATTGGTCATTAACAGGAATCGAACTTGTGAAATCGATGACAAAACAAAACGTGTACAATTGTATTGCTCCTGTATTTGCCTATGATTTGGCAAAGACATCTGCTTAAAATCTTGATGCAATCAATATTTTATAGCCTAGCCAGTACTTTCATGAACATACTATTATTAACCATGCATTTGGAATACAGTGTAATTCTCATCAAAATAAGTAGTGCAACTACTTGCCAGTATTTTGAAAGAACAGCAGTCTTAACAGCTTCTGTGTCGAATGCAGGGCATTATAGCCTGTAAGCCTATCTCTCACACATGCCATCCCTATGCGGCTGAAGTATGAATACCTCGTTATTGTGCCAGTGAAATCACTACTTGAGCTTTCAAAGGTCCCACCTGTTCCTCCATTACTTCCCACCATCCACTCTCATTGCACCCCCCCCCTTCTCCAAAGACTGCACCTCCCCCATGCATTGAATCGCCTGCCTGGCTGACATCGTCCTGAGACAGTTTAATTTACAGACATGCCAGTCTCACCCTGAACATAGAATGGTTTTCATAATGAAGCACTGTGGTCATGAATTAGCAGCAACTGTTGAAAAAGGCCCCGAACCTCACTCCTCATCAAGCTCTCCATAAATAACATTGATAGTGAGGTAATTGACATCAATTAATTGCATTTTATATGGTAATAATTAATATACAATAATGTACAGCCCTTAATTCATCCACTGCTGGATGGAGGCCACCGCACGCTCTGTTGCTCATGTTGCTCAGTGCACGTTGGAGAAGGCTGATAATGACCAGAACCAGTTCATGTATCACTCGCCACTGATGTAAAGCCATGTTCCGGAATTGAACACATGTTTCTGGGTGTACAACGCAGTGCATTAACCGCTGTACCACCATTCCACCCCTTCAATGGAATGACATTTTTTCAGCTCGTGGGTGCTACTATTAGACAGCACAGTCAATCCAACAGATGGGCAATTTACGATGTTAGATCATTATCCGATGACCCCTACAACGGTAATATTAAAGAAATAAGCTCGCTAATTATATCCACAAACCAAAGCAGTACCACCCTAAAAAAAGACAGAACAGACACAGCGAGCCTTTATAGAACAAATAACTACAGCCATAATATTTAAAAATATATATATAACTTAGTATCGTTCACAATAAGTAATTAATTACTTTCAAACAACAGAGTTGCAGTGAAGTACTGGAACTTATAATAAATATGCTCCTCACAGCAAAGTGTCTACATTGTGTCTAATGAGTTTCTAACTAGAGTAAGTTTAGTGAGCTAGTGATAAGGCAAAGAATGTCCGAGGCTGCTTTCCTAAAGTGACGCACGAGAGCCCAGAGCACAGCTGTTGACCCTGAAATGTAAAGCGTATAGGTCACAAGAGGGACGAGGGTTACGGGATCTCTTGACATGCTGTCATTTAGGAGATAAGGAAAAATCGCACTCGTACACTTTCCCACCAATTACATGAGCAGAGGGCCTTCTGGGTATTGTCATAAAAAAAAAACCTACTGAGGATAGACTAATGAATGGACTTTGGGTTTAACCAAACTTTCATAATACGAGTGCTGAAGCATGACTGGGTATAACATTCTTCATTCCAATGTCGGCAGGGAGGATACAGTTTTTTTCCATTCAATTGTCATTGGAAGGGGGCGCATTTATGCATGTCAAGCATATGCCCTAAGCCAAATTTGCATGATCATATAAGCTTAAACTGTGTAGGAATGAAATATTTCCACCAACCTGAATCACTTTTTACATTACAAAACACTCAGTCCATTTAAGATCATCAATCGATATGCACGATGTATTTGCTGGAAGAGTATCACACTGGAAGCTGTCTTTTAAGCTGGATTTAGCTGGATGGTTCATCTGCTTTTAACATTACAGCAGCAGGCTGTAATGTGTGAGCTATTACATCAAACCTAACTTCCCAGGGAAGAGCAATAAATCCCGGGCTCCTTACAAAGGTCAGCTAACCAATGAGTTCTTTGGGCTGCACTGCGTAACATTCACGCACCATTGAGTTTGAAGTGTAGTTTTCGAACTACAAACCTAAGAAATGCTAGCCTACAACATACAAAGTGCAAGTATGAAGGTCTTTCTGAATCCAATATTAATATGGGGCAATTCAAAATAATGATATTTTTTAAAATCACAGAATGCATCCATTATGGACAGGAAGTGGCAGTTGTTGTTCTTGGTTTCTGCTTCAGATATTTTTTTCGTGAACATTTCCAAACATATCCAATAATGTTTGCTGTGCATTTCGTCATAATTAAAAAAAAGTTTCAACATTTGTAAGTGGATCATAACGGCACTTTTGCTCACAAGAGATGTATTTATTTTAATTAAAAGAGCCTCTGTTTCATAAGTGGCTTTGTCTGGAATGTTCTTTTGAAATATGACTGGTTGTCATGCAATCACATGGTTTTTTTACATTGAATCAATAAAGGCTCTACATCATATGACATATACACTCGTGTAAGCAGAGTGGTCAAAATGTGTTCTGAATGTTTCGACACTATTTAAATAGGTTACCCCAAGCTAATTTCACAATACTGATATTAGGGCTTAAAGTTTAATATTTTGTATATGCAATAAAAATAAACATCTGTTTGCAAGTGTTAGCCCATGCATACCTCGGCTACTATTTTATGTGTGTGTAAATGTCTTTGTGTATATACTGTTGGGGCAAAGTGCTGTTAGCGAGCTCCTACGAAGGCCAGCACGGCACACGAGGGGCTGGGTGGCAAGCACCATGCCCGGCCGTCTTTGGCTCCTAGGTGCTGATGTTTACACACCACCCCAGGAACGCATTTAAGGTTGAGTGGACCTAGGGGAGGCCCAGGACCAGTTCAAATAATCGCCACGTTATTGGTCATGAACAGGAATCGAATTTGTGTTGCTGGGTTCAACGTGCAGTACACTAACCACTGCGCTTTCATTCCAAGTGTGTGCGTGTATGTTTCATTTAGTGTATTATGATGTGTG